TTGAAGCAGAAGTCAGCTGTGTACTTGTTGAAGCTGAAGTCAGCTGTGTACTTGTTGAAGCTGAAGTCAGCTGTGTACTTGTTGAAGCTGAAGTCAGCTGTGTACTTGTTGAAGCAGAAGTCAGCTGTGTACTTGTTGAAGCAGAAGCCAGTTGTGCACTTGTTGAAGCAGAAGCCAGTTGTGCACTTGTTGAAGCAGAAGCCAGTTGTGCACTTGTTGAAGCTGAAGTCAGCTGTGTACTTGTTGAAGCAGAAGCCAGTTGTGTACTTGTTGAAGCTGTAGGAAGCTGTGTGCTTGTTGAAGCTGAAGTCAGCTGTGTACTTGTTGAAGCTGAAGTCAGCTGTGTACTTGTTGAAGCTGAAGTCAGCTGTGTACTTGTTGAAGCTGTAGGAAGCTGTGTGCTTGTTGAAGCAGAAGTCAGCTGTGTGCTTGTTGAAGCAGAAGTCAGCTGTGTGCTTGTTGAAGCTGAAGGAAGCTGTGTGCTTGTTGAAGCTGTAGGAAGCTGTGTGCTTGTTGAAGCTGTAGGAAGCTGTGTGCTTGTTGAAGCTGAAGTCAGCTGTGTACTTGTTGAAGCAGAAGTCAGCTGTGTACTTGTTGAAGCAGAAGTCAGCTGTGTACTTGTTGAAGCAGAAGTCAGCTGTGTACTTGTTGAAGCAGAAGTCAGCTGTGTACTTGTTGAAGCAGAAGTCAGCTGTGTACTTGTTGAAGCAGAAGTCAGCTGTGTACTTGTTGAAGCAGAAGTCAGCTGTGTACTTGTTGAAGCAGAAGTCAGCTGTGTACTTGTTGAAGCAGCTGTGTACTTGTTGAAGCAGAAGTCAGCTGTGTACTTGTTGAAGCAGAAGTCAGCTGTGTACTTGTTGAAGCAGAAGTCAGCTGTGTACTTGTTGAAGCAGAAGTCAGCTGTGTACTTGTTGAAGCAGAAGTCAGCTGTGTACTTGTTGAAGCAGAAGTCAGCTGTGTACTTGTTGAAGCAGAAGTCAGCTGTGTACTTGTTGAAGCAGAAGTCAGCTGTGTACTTGTTGAAGCAGAAGTCAGCTGTGTACTTGTTGAAGCAGAAGTCAGCTGTGTACTTGTTGAAGCAGAAGTCAGCTGTGTACTTGTTGAAGCAGAAGTCAGCTGTGTACTTGTTGAAGCAGAAGTCAGCTGTGTACTTGTTGAAGCAGAAGTCAGCTGTGTACTTGTTGAAGCAGAAGTCAGCTGTGTACTTGTTGAAGCAGAAGTCAGCTGTGTACTTGTTGAAGCAGAAGTCAGCTGTGTACTTGTTGAAGCAGAAGTCAGCTGTGTACTTGAAGCAGAAGTCAGCTGTGTACTTGTTGAAGCAGAAGTCAGCTGTGTACTTGTTGAAGCAGAAGTCAGCTGTGTACTTGAAGCAGAAGTCAGCTGTGTACTTGTTGAAGCAGAAGTCAGCTGTGTACTTGTTGAAGCAGAAGTCAGCTGTGTACTTGTTGAAGCAGAAGTCAGCTGTGTACTTGTTGAAGCAGAAGTCAGCTGTGTACTTGTTGAAGCAGAAGTCAGCTGTGTGCTTGTTGAAGCTGTAGGAAGCTGTGTGCTTGTTGAAGCAGAAGTCAGCTGTGTACTTGTTGAAGCTGAAGTCAGCTGTGTACTTGTTGAAGCTGTAGGAAGCTGTGTGCTTGTTGAAGCAGAAGTCAGTTGTGTACTTGTTGAAGCTGAAGTCAGCTGTGTACTTGTTGAAGCAGAAGTCAGCTGTGTACTTGTTGAAGCTGTAGGAAGCTGTGTGCTTGTTGAAGCAGAAGTCAGCTGTGCACTTGTTGAAGCTGAAGTCAGCTGTGTACTTGTTGAAGCTGTAGGAAGCTGTGTACTTGTTGAAGCTGTAGGAAGCTGTGTACTTGTTGAAGCAGAAGTCAGCTGTGTACTTGTTGAAGCAGAAGTCAGCTGTGTACTTGTTGAAGCTGTAGGAAGCTGTGTGCTTGTTGAAGCAGAAGTCAGCTGTGTACTTGTTGAAGCTGAAGTCAGCTGTGTACTTGTTGAAGCTGAAGTCAGCTGTGTACTTGTTGAGCTGTGTGTGTACTTGTTGAAGCTGAAGTCAGCTGTGTACTTGTTGAAGCTGAAGTCAGCTGTGTACTTGTTGAAGCTGAAGTCAGCTGTGTACTTGTTGAAGCTGAAGTCAGCTGTGTACTTGTTGAAGCTGAAGTCAGCTGTGTACTTGTTGAAGCTGAAGTCAGCTGTGTACTTGTTGAAGCTGAAGTCAGCTGTGTACTTGTTGAAGCTGAAGTCAGCTGTGTTCTTGTTGAAGCTGAAGTCAGCTGTGTACTTGTTGAATATGTAGGAAGCTGTGTACTTGTTGAAGCTGTAGTCAGCTGTGTACTTGTTGAAGCTGAAGTCAGCTGTGTACTTGTTGAAGCTGAAGTCAGCTGTGTACTTGTTGAAGCTGAAGTCAGCTGTGTACTTGTTGAAGCTGAAGTCAGCTGTGTACTTGTTGAAGCTGAAGTCAGCTGTGTACTTGTTGAAGCTGAAGTCAGCTGTGTACTTGTTGAAGCTGAAGTCAGCTGTGTACTTGTTGAAGCTGAAGTCAGCTGTGTACTTGTTGAAGCTGAAGTCAGCTGTGTACTTGTTGAAGCTGAAGTCAGTGTGTACTTGTTGAAGCTGTGTACTTGTTGAAGCTGAAGTCAGCTGTGTACTTGTTGAAGCTGAAGTCAGCTGTGTACTTGTTGAAGCTGTAGGAAGCTGTGTACTTGTTGAAGCTGTAGGAAGCTGTGTGCTTGTTGAAGCAGAAGTCAGCTGTGTACTTGTTGAAGCTGAAGTCAGCTGTGTACTTGTTGAAGCTGAAGTCAGCTGTGTACTTGTTGAAGCTGAAGTCAGCTGTGTACTTGTTGAAGCTGAAGTCAGCTGTGTACTTGTTGAAGCTGAAGTCAGCTGTGTACTTGTTGAAGCTGAAGTCAGCTGTGTACTTGTTGAAGCTGAAGTCAGCTGTGTACTTGTTGAAGCTGAAGTCAGCTGTGTACTTGTTGAAGCTGTAGGAAGCTGTGTACTTGTTGAAGCTGTAGGAAGCTGTGTGCTTGTTGAAGCAGAAGTCAGCTGTGTACTTGTTGAAGCTGAAGTCAGCTGTGTACTTGTTGAAGCTGAAGTCAGCTGTGTACTTGTTGAAGCTGAAGTCAGCTGTGTACTTGAAACAGAAGCCAGCTGTGTACTTGTTGAAGCTGAAGTCAGCTGTGTACTTGTTGAAGCTGTAGGAAGCTGTGTAATTGTTGAAGCAGAAGCCAGCTGTGTACTTGTTGAAGTTGAAGTCAGCTGTGTACTTGTTGAAGCAGAATCCAGCTGTGTACTTGTTGAAGTTGAAGTAAGCTGTGTACTTGTTGAAGCAGAAGCCAGCTGTGTACTTGTTGAAGCTGAAGTCAGCTGTGTACTTGTTGAAGCTGAAGTCAGCTGTGTACTTGTTGAAGCTGTAGGAAGCTGTGTAATTGTTGAAGCAGAAGCCAGCTGTGTGCTTGTTGAAGCAGAAGCCAGCTGTGTACTTGTTGAAGCAGAAGCCAGCTGTGTGCTTGTTGAAGCAGAAGTCAGCTGTGTACTTGAGCCTTCATATAGTCGGTTAAGTGAATATGTTCCAAATGAGAGTTCTGGTCTCTCTTTCCCACCCTAATGAACAAATCCACAAGGGCCGTGACGAGGATTCGAACCTACGTCCGAGAGCATCACTCCCACTATGTATTATCCCTCTATGTATCTCCCACTCTATGTACTATGTTCAGTACTTTCTCTCTTGTTCTCCCTCTCCTTCCACCTCCTCCCCACTACCTTCTTTCCTCTTCTTTAGTCAATCTAAAGATAGTCAATGGATAGTCTTTGTCTATCCATTTTTTTGGGGGGAAGTGACGACTTCGCATTTTGGAGGGTTGGCGTTCGATTTCAGCCGGTCCAACTGTGTGTCGTTCCTTCATTCCTTTTGTTCTAGTTCTTCTTGTGTTCTTATATCCCAGTTCTTATTCTGTTCTCATATACCAGTTCTTATTCTGTCCCGTATTTCTTCCAAGTGCTATATTGTGAAACAGGCTTAGCGTTTTTCTCTGATTTGCTTTGATTCACCTCTCACTTCCCGTTCTACCTTTCCCCCCATCTGTTCCACATCCCTTCTCTTCCACCATCCTTTCCTCTCCGTCCCCTCCCTTCTCCATTTATTTTATATTTCCTAGTCCTGTCCTGTCTGCTCTTCTCTTATTTCTCCCCCTTTTAACATTCCTCTCCCTCTTGTGAGCACTGTTCCTCCTCTCCCTTCTGTGGGAAAGGTGGTTGGAAGCAGGAATGAGGTGTACTACCTACCCCCCCCCCGCCCCCCTTTCCTCTCTCTCTCTCTGCTAACTCTTCCCTCTCCCTCTGCCTACTATTCTTTCTACCTCTCCCGCTTTTGTCTTTTGTTCTTTCTACCTCTCCCTGCTCATCTCTCATCTCCCTGCTCTTATCTCTCCTCTCTCCTCTCCTCTCTCCTCACCCCTCCTCTCCCCGAGGGGAGGATGGTGGGTAGCATGTATAGGGGGGGGGGGAGGGGAGACAACCCCTACAATCCCTCCCATGTCCTGCCTCGCCTTTTCTGTCCCAACATTTCTCTTCCTCCTCTGCCTTCTGTTCTATCTCTCCTCTCCCCCCACCCATCTCTCCCTGCCCTTCTCTCCCGGCCGCTGGGGGAGATGGGAGGAGTAATAATAACTAGAGTGTCGTGCTGGGGCTGGGGGGGGGGGAAGAGACCACCTGGTAAACTTTAATCTCCCACGGTATTGTTGCTAAAATTGATGCATGGTTGATGAGTTGAGTGTGGAAGGGTGAGGGAGAGGAGATTGGGTGGGGTGGGTGGGTTGTCTCTGATATGTGGGTGGTGAGGGGGAGGGGGGGGGGTTAGTTGATGAGGGGGAGGGGGGGTTAGTTGATGAGGGGGAGGGGGGGGTTAGTTGATGAGGGGGAGGGGGGTTAGTTGATGAGGAGGAGGGGGGGGGGGAGTTGATGTAAGGGGTGGTGGATGCGTGTTGGTGTGGCGGGGTAGTGAAGGGGCCATGCTGTTGCTCCCCTACACAGTAAGGCGGGCCACCGTGGCCCTCAACCGGTCACCGTGGCCCCTCAACCGGTCACCGTGGCCCTCAACCGGTCACCGTGGCCCTCAACCGGTCACCGTGGCCCCTCAACCGGTCACCGTGGCCCGCAACCGGTCACCGTGGCCCCTCAACCGGTCACCGTGGCCCTCAACCGGTCACCGTGGCCCCTCAACCGGTCACCGTGGCCCTCAACCGGTCACCGTGGCCCCTCAACCGGTCACCGTGGCCCTCAACCGGTCACCGTGGCCCCTCAACCGGTCACCGTGGCCCTCAACCGGTCACCGTGGCCCCTCAACCGGTCACCGTGGTCCTCAACCGGTCACCGTGGTCCTCAACCGGTCACCGTGGCCCCTCAACCGGTCACCGTGGCCCCTCAACCGGTCACCGTGGTCCCTCAACCGGTCACCGTGGCCCCTCAACCGGTCACCGTGGTCCCTCAACCGGTCACCGTGGTCCCTCAACCGGTCACCGTGGCGCCTCAACCGGTCACCGTGGCGCCTCAACCGGTCACCGTGGTCCCTCAACCGGTCACCGTGGCGCCTCAACCGGTCACCGTGGCGCCTCAACCGGTCACCGTGGCCCCTCAACCGGTCACCGTGGCCCCTCAACCGGTCACCGTGGCCCCTCAACCGGTCACCGTGGCCCTCAACCGGTCACCGTGGCCCCTCAACCGGTCACCGTGGCCCTCAACCGGTCACCGTGGCCCCTCAACCGGTCACCGTGGCCCTCAACCGGTCACCGTGGCCCCTCAACCGGTCACCGTGGTCCCTCAACCGGTCACCGTGGTCCCTCAACCGGTCACCGTGGTCCCTCAACCGGTCACCGTGGTCCCTCAACCGGTCACCGTGGCGCCTCAACCGGTCACCGTGGCGCCACAACCGGTCACCGTGGTCCCTCAACCGGTCACCGTGGCGCCTCAACCGGTCACCGTGGCCCCTCAACCGGTCACCGTGGCCCCTCAACCGGTCACCGTGGCCCCTCAACCGGTCACCGTGGCCCCTCAACCGGTCACCGTGGCCCTCAACCGGTCACCGTGGCGCCTCAACCGGTCACCGTGGCGCCTCAACCGGTCACTGTGGCCCTCAACCGGTCACCGTGGCGCCTCAACCGGTCACTGTGGCCCCTCAACCGGTCACCGTGGCGCCTCAACCGGTCACCGTGGCCCCTCAACCGGTCACCGTGGCGCCTCAACCGGTCACCGTGGCCCCTCAACCGGTCACCGTGGCGCCTCAACCGGTCACCGTGGCGCCTCAACCGGTCACTGTGGCCCCTCAACCGGTCACCGTGGCCCTCAACCGGTCACCGTGGCGCCTCAACCGGTCACCGTGGCGCGTCAACCGGTCACCGTGGCCCTCAACCTGCCTCAAACGCACGCCCTGATTAAACAACTTTTCACTGAAATGACAACGTTAACTGTCCCCACTCCTGATATTGGCGCACAATAAGGGCTCTTTTTACCTCCAAATACCAGTAACACGACCGCAACTTTTCACGGCTAGCTGGTAGTTACAGCCCTCAGGAACAAGGCCATTGACCCAAGCACTCGGACTGGCTGGGTTAATGCCGTCTAGAACAAGAATATTGACAAAAGTTATGAAAACTCTAACCTTGGATTCTATTTAAAATGACTGCGAAAGCTGCAGGCGGAAGAAAACAGATGGGAAGAATACAAATAACATTGAAACGGAGTCAATAATATACAACTAAGAAAGAAAAACCCATTTTTGCATGCTATGCATGTAAAAATAAAAATAAAAACATAAAAAATATTTGCCTATTCTAAAACCGTGACACAAACGTAACCTAATTATTCTGATGTAAGTTACCCTGGAAATAATTTTAGTAGGGAACCAATATTATTTGATCTAATATCTTCACACTGAAATAGTCCTTCACGTGACCTGACCTGGGAGGGTCAGAGTTGAATATGCAAATTGCCCAAATTTGAAGAAGGAATTTGGTATATACACTAAGAGATAATTATATATGCTTAAAGTTCCCTTTTTTCTCGGAATTCTCTCCATTTATATATAAGGGAAATCGCCAAAAGGAGAGAATTCCGAGAAAAAAGGGAACTTTAAGCATATATAATTATCTCTTAGTGTATATACCAAATTCCTTCTTCAAATTTGGGCAATTTGCATATTCAACTCTGACCCTCCCAGGTCAGGTCACGTGAAGGACTATTTCAGTGTGAAGATATTAGATCAAATAATATTGGTTCCCTACTAAAATTATTTCCAGGGTAACTTACATCAGAAAAATTAGTTTACGTTTGTGTCACGGTTTTAGAATAGGCAAATATTTTTATTTTTTTATTTTTATTTGTACATGCATAGCATGCAAATTAAATACAATAAAAAACAAGACAAGAACATAGAAAACAAAACAAAACAAAACAAGAAACCACCGACCAGAAGGGCAGACAGCACAGTACAACATATTACAAACACGGTAAATGCACGAGAAACATAGCATACATCAAGACACAAAATACAAAACAATGTCAAACAAGCAAGAACAGTAACAGTACAAAACATCTCAAAACAAATCAAACATCAAGAGTAACAACAAAAACAAGAAAATTACAATATACAACAAAATAAAAATAACAAACAAGTACAACATGTAATGCAAGCAGAAAACACCAGTGCACATGTACATCACCGAAACAAGACATGAATAAAAACACACCACACCAACCGCCTCGCAACAAACAAACAAAGAGAGAGGCCCAAAACATACAATCATAACACACTAGCACTCCATGCAATCAAGAAACGAAACAGAGTAACATATACAACAAACAAACAAGCACCGGCCTGAAGGACCGAGAACAAAAACACAACATAAAGGACATCATGAAAATAGAACAAGAAAAACGCACAGCACACAACAAGCCAAAAATAAAAACAAAAAACAAACAAAAAACAATAATAAAAACATAAAACAAATTAATAAAAAAAAATAAAAATAAAAAAATAAAAAAACACAAGCAATGCACAAGTAGAACACACATGGCAAAGTAACAACACAAAAGCAAATTCAGGAATAAAAACGCCCTCACCAAAACACCGGCCTCGCAACAAATAAGGGAGAGGCACGGGGTACAAAACACAATAGTGCAAACAAAAGGCTATAGGGGCACCCAACACTACAGTAACATGGAATCAGCCGACATATTTGCCCGGGAACAAGACCCGGGGGAACCGCACATTGAACGCCTCCCAAAGCAGCCACTTTCCCCAAGTGGTCTGACCCTCCACCGGGGGCGCCATATTATCCGGAACCCCAGCAACAAACACCTGCAAACAGGGAATCCAGACGGTGTTACTCCGGAGGAGGCGAGTAACCGCCACCCTACGCCATACACCGGGAACCCGCTCATCTTGAAAATCCTCCAGTACTTCAGACCACAGGAACTCGGCAACCACGGCCTCCAGAGCCTCAAGTCGCAACCCCACAGGAGAGAGCTGGTCAGAGGGCACCATCACAGGGGCACCAGCGGCCACAGGCACACCACTAGACGACTGCAGGGAACCAGGGCGGCGCGCATCCTTTCGTAAAGTCACGACCAGGCCACGCCCAGCACCAGCATCCGCACTATCCCCGGCAGCGGAAGCCACCACAACCCACTGCGGAGAGCCCCTTGGCAGGGAAGGAACAGAATGCACACCCGAGACACTGGCAACAGCACCAGCAGGCACATGAACCTCCGCCACCACCAACCGCGGAGACAACGACGCATCCTGATCCACACCGTCAACACTCGAAGACTCACAGTCACTGAAGTCCCCAACATCGACCCAGGCAGTAGACGAACGCCTGGAACGTTTGGGCTCCAGCCGGATATCATCAGAGCCTTCTGGCTGACCCAGAAACATGGGCACCACTAGCCGGACGCACAGATACAGAACAGCAGCAGCCTCTACCACAGGGGGAACTGGACCACACACAGCAGGAGGCTCCGCAGCCACCCCAGCACCCAGCACAGTAGGGACCCGAGGGTAGGATGCAGCGCCAGGTTCAGCAGCCGAAGACGAGAAAGCAGACGACGACGCCTCACAGGGAGTACCAGGAAGGTCCACGGGAGCGGCAAGGCCAGAGACAGGATCAGGAGTAACATCCGACGGCACCGCAACATCCGGAGGAGGGTCTGCAACAACCGGGGGAACGTCGGGCGATGCTGGGGGAGCCTCAGCAGCGAACGGGACGCTCACCTCCTCACCCCCGGAGTCCTCCTCCAGAGGGAGCGGCGGAAAAATCCTCTTCACGGAACAAATTCACGGGAGCAACCGGATCAGCAGTACACTCGGCAGCCTGATGCCCCAACAAGCCACACCGGAAACAAGTACGGGGTTGCCGGGCATAAAACACCCGCACGTAGTACCCTAACAGCCGGACAGATGACGGAATGTCCGACCTCAGTCGCATCCCGAGGGTCCGAATGTTGGTCTTCACGCCCGAATACTTTCCAGATGACAGCGAGTTCATCCGCACACTGACGACGGAGCCATACCTCTGGAAGAAACGCTGGAGGAGAGTCTCAGGAAACTCCATGGGGGCGCCATGGACACTTACATATGTCACAGCACCACTGCGGTCCGAAATGGTCACAGACCCGTTGCTGTCCTACAGCAGCAAAGTACGCCCCTCATACCTCCGGAGAAAACCACGGTACACTGCCTCACCCACAAACTTTATGATCACACGGCGAGCAGTGACCAGCTCGACACCGAAGACGTCCTGGACCGGGACCCTGAGCATGTCACTCAAGACCAAGTCCACAAGAGGGTAACCTGCACGGCCAGTAAACTCCAAACCTATGGAGTTCACCCTCACGACAGCTGGAAGATGGCTGCCCATCGTAAACACGCCACGTCCACACCACCAGGAACAGCAGGGAGGGTAGAGACACCCACACCCCCTGCCGGCGAAAACGGCAACTACCCCCTGGATAGATAAATTGACACCTGAACCAAGGTGCCTCACATCACCGTCAACAGATGGCGTTGCTTTGATGGTTTCTGGCGTGGGTTTGATGGACACACATTTACGTATTTGATAGGGAGCTTTCTTGCCTTCCATTTGGAGACTTGGTGTGATCAACCCGTCCTCGACTCAAGTCCATTACATTCAGCGGTCGACCCCACAGACGCATTCATAAATTTGTACATGCTGTTCATTCAAAAAATGAATTTTCTCAAATATGAATTAATATTATAAGATATTAGCATATTGTGCATATATAGCCATAGATTAGGTTAGGTGTCTAGGTTCTGTTGACGATTATTTGTATTTGTAATACATGGGTGAAGCATTTATATCGTTGTGGTTCGAACAAAATTGGTCAACGAAGCACTTGTTCGAACGTCATCAGTTGTGAGTCGTGTGTAAACCGTTTTTCATTCATAAACAGCGAGTTTAAGTGGCTGCATTAACGAGCATTTGATCTTTGTTGATGAAGATATTTGTGAATAAATAGGTAATATTGATCATAACATTGTTCGAACTTCATCGAATACGAATGTTGATATTTAAAATAGTCTCATAGCAACATGAAACAGTGTTCAGCAAAACCAACATTATGGCAACAGCAAACTATAGAGTTGCCAACTTAGCACAGGGTGCTTCGAGACGAGTCTAGTGTGTACTGAGGGATACTCTGAGATACAAACACCATAGGGGGAGCGTGAAATATTAATGACCAAAATACTATCTATCGAGAGGGACAATACTATCATAAGGGACAAAACTATCTAACGCAAGGGACGGTATTATCTAGCCCGAATACCTGACGCAAGGGACAGTACTATCTAGCCAGAAGGAAAATACTATCAAGTGTGAATATCAAACTATCCGGAAAGAGGTGAGTAACAGGTGGTTGTGAGGGATAGACACGATGATTGATTGGACTGTCAAGGCATCGAGAGTGGAGCCAGGGACCGTCACTCATCACATCATGTATGTACAGCACATACATGATCGCACACGCAAACACACACACACACACACACACTCACTAGAACCTGTACACCTGTTGATTGATGGTTGAGAGGCGGGACCTAAAAGCCAGAGCTCAACCCCCCCTGCAAGCACAAATAGGTGAGTACACACACACACACACACACACACACACACACACACACACACACACACACACACACACACACACACACACACACACCGACACACACACACACACACACACACACACACACACACACACACACACACACACACACTCTCACACACACACTCACACTCGAGGATTGAAGAGAGGAGAGTCTATGGATGGGACCTGAGAAGCTAAACCACAATGCAACAATTAGTAAGGTTAAGTTGTACAATAAATGGGTGAAGGCTCAAGTGCTGGACAG